ACCAGCAGAAGACCGAAACCGACCTTGTTCTCATCATACTATGAAATGTAGTTGTTGCAAGTCAACTCGGTATTGTCTCTAAGGGTGATAGCGAGTTTTATACAATAAGTTCAGACGAGTTATTGCTAATTTTTTCTTAACCGCAGTAGCAACTAAATTCCAGGCAGTTTAATCATTTTATGCACCATAACGAGGCTTGATTGTAGTGATTGAGTTATTCAGTTGCCAGTGTTTGGACAAGATTCTATATAACCACAGATGATCGCATCCGACTTTCAGGCTAAGCTCGAAATATTGTACCGACTCCAAATTTCGTCTCTACGCGCCGATTTCATATGTTGCAGCTGGGAAAGGCAACGATGCAATGAAAACATGTATCTTTGACTCAAAATTAGCCAGAGTTCGAGAATGTAGTTCATTCAGGATGAATAAGTCCTTTGGGAGACAACGACATCGTAAAACTCGTTCAGATATTTATGAAAAATTTCATCTATCAGCCCTAATTCATCTGATGCGGTATAAAGTGAATAGAGCTCTTAGTGAAGATCTAAGGAAGGGATCAAAATACACTCATCATGTATTACATTTTCCGTTGTCCCTAGGCTACGCTGGAAGGTACAATCTGATGCCGGTCTATGACTACCTGGTTGATAGGATCCGTACCCACGATCCGACCCGCTTGATATTCTACGAGCCGGTCACCTGGGGCGTGTTCGGCGCTGGAGACGCAGGCTGGACGGGCACCGGATTTGACAGGGTACCGGGCAGCCTGCGAAATCGCAGTGAGCGGAACCGTAGTGTTCTTTCCTATCACTACTATTGTTGGTTGCTGCAAACTGATGATCCGGCAAGTGAGCTGCCATTTTGGAAGGAACTTCTTTGCGATGAGGTAATCACTTTATCCATGTTTGATGGTTTGACGATGGGCAAATCTTTCGAAGCATGTAGCGCGCCAGAGAGTTGCTTGAAGTAAGCCGTTGGGGTAGCAGATATTAACAAAGTTTTCCTTTCAAAAGGCGGTTGTCTATATCAAAAACTCTATTACCAGGATAGCAAATCTTGGCGGATTCTGAAAAGACTTCATGTTTAGTGGACCAAGGTCATGCTACTCAGAGACAACCCTCATTCACTCTATTCCTTATTAATTGAGTGGTACAGGAAGCAAAAGTAACCTTATTCATTAATATTATTCTCAGT